TTGATGATGAATACGGTTCATGCCTTGTCTCGCCGATTCAACATTAGCCCGGAAGTTGGAAAAACGGGCGCCGGGAGGCTCCGGAGGAGAGATAACTGGTTGCTGCAACAATTGCTGGACTCCCACTCTTCAGTGACCTCCCTGGTGATAAAACAGAGGTACCTGCCAAAAATGAACGAAAACCGATGCAAAACGAATGTTCGGGGGCCAAAACACGCAGTTCGGGATCCCGAAAATGGGCTGTTAAGCACTGAAAATGGCGTTCGGCCACGAAGTGGGTTTCCGGGACCCCAGTGTCCCTCAAAATGGAGCAAATAGGAAGTATGCCAAAAACCGGAGCAATAGGAGATGGTTAAGCGGTCCCGAACCGAGGCACACGGCCTGACGGCTCCGAAAACCGGAAACCGGACTCCGAAATGGGCAAAATGGCCTACGGCCACCAAATGTAGCCTACGGACATTGAGAGATGGTCTACGGGACCTCTCCCTTCCCTCGAGAAAAGAAACAGAGAAAACCGAGTCTGGTTCGCAAACCGAGACAAGGCACAGAAGAGGGTTCGGAAATCCGGAGGCGGGGCTCACGGCCGCGACTTTGAAACTTCTGAACAAGCACAACATGCAATATCACCGAGTGCTCAACTGGTGATGTCTGAGTCTTAAGGTCGGTCAAAAATGGGGTGTCTACACCAGTGGCCATGTCGGCGTTCCATTGAACCCGACCATTGGGCCATTGGATTGCTCCTTATCGTCTGGGTGAAAGCCGAACTCCTTGTAACACCTGACATACATAATGCCACATGAGCTACTTTGGTCAATCAGGATGCGCTTCACCTAGCGCTCCCCAACTTGGAGGGATACTAACAGGGCATCGTTATGTGGATGCTGTACCATCTCAAGGTCGGTTTCAGTAAAGGACACTACTGGTCCCTGGCACTCCTCGACCCGATGTCGTTTCTCCCCGACCTGGTACATGCGCTGCAAGTGTTTTACCTTCTGGGTCTCCCCCCGTATTTTATTTTTGTTGACCTTCGAGTGAATTACATTAATTACCCAAGGTCCTCTTGCCTGAGGTCGTTGTGCTGAGGGGGGTGGAGCTGTTGGTGCTTGAGGCAATCTTGTCTGCTCTTCTCTTATCCTGACCTCATTTATAAGGTCCCTCAAGTGGCCTTGCCTCACCAGGTCTTCTAGGTGTGTTTTCAGGGCTCTGCAATCCTGAGTTAGGTGCCCATTCTCATTCTGGTAAGCACAATGCTTACCGAGGCTTCTTCCTATAAATTCTCCTGGCACCCTAGCTAGCGCTCTGAAATAGGGCTGGGATCGGATTTTATCTAAGACTTTGTAAATTGGGATTCGGAACACAGTTGTGACTGCTTGTGCAGCCCTCTGTCCTACCTCTTGCTTGTCGGACCCATTGTTACCTCGGCCTCGCTTCGGCGAGCCGTTTCCTTTCTCTTGTTTTGTCTTCTTAGTTCCCGATATGTCTTCCTCGACTCTGGCATACTTCTCAATTCTGGCCATGAGCTCTTCCATGCTTTTTGGTAATGTTTTTGCCAAAGACTTTCGTAGTGGACAGTCATCTTTTAGGCCGTTTTTGAAAGATACGACCGCCACCTCATGGTTGCACTCGGGTGTTCAGTTGAACACCTCATAATACATTTTTGCGTAGGCCCTTAGGCCTCATCCTTGCTGATTCTCAAAGCCATCAAAGCATCTACCCTTAATGGCTGTAGTTTGTTTGTCACGAACCTGGCCACAAACATCTCGGCCAGGCCTTCTCAGGTCTTCACACTTCCCTTTGGCAATTTGTAAAACCAATCTGATGCAATCTCCTCGAAGGATGAAGGGAACACCTTGCAGAGCAACGGCTCGTTTCCAGTGTATAGTGCTATCGAGTTCAGGTATAATCCGACGTGAAAGTTGGGGTCCAACTTTCCGTCGTATATCTGGAATCTCGACATACTGAATCTTTTTGGGGCCTCAAATTTGTCCAACTTTGCCGAGAATGGTGTTTTCGGTTTAACAGGGGAGGTTACCTCGGCATCTTGTTGCGTCTTCTTGAGGTAATCTCTCAAGTCTTCCTTTGTCCGCCCAGGAGTTCGGCTATCTCCTGATTTCAATCTTTTTGGTGCACTACTTTCAGCTTCGTTGTGAGCCCTTTTCGACCTTTCTTCATGAGTTGTGTCGAAGCACAACGCTTGCCTTTGAACATGCCAATGTTCTTTGGGGTCTGCCTCCTTGGTGCGATGTGTCCTTCGAGATTCTTCCCTCCTCGACTCTCCTCGCCCGACCTCCCTTGAAGGCCAGTGAGAGTGTCTTTCGCTCTTGGTGTGTTGGGGGGGCTATAGGGGTTGTTTTCTGCCCTCTCTTCTGGGCATTGGCCGCTGGAATCGGCGTGTCTTGCAACGGGAACGGTGGCTGCATGACGTTGTTTTGCATCATAAAATTGACGACCGATTGCAGGTCAGCCAATTTGTTTGCCATCTCTTTTACCTCTTCGTCCCTTCGCAGACATCTATCTTTTCATACCTAGAGGTCGTTCTCATTGTAATACCCGTTTCGGTTCGTTTTCTGTGGTATGTTGCCATCCTAGCCGACGTCTTCCTTACCGTGATTCTAGTTATGAGTCTCTTCGTTACAACCATCTTTCTCCATGTTAGGGTCTACGTATTTGCCGTTCCTAGTAGGGATTTCGCCCCTTACCTTATCCTTTTGTCCGTCACTGGCCATCTATTCTCCTTTCTTTCCCACAGACGGCGCCAAATTGTGTGAGTGAATTTCTAACCACACTGCCAACTCAGTATTCAGCTGGAGAACACTGGCAAAATAGATAGCGCCTGATTGACCTGCAACAGAAAGAAAAGATACCGGCAGTGGTTCGTCCACCCGGGAGCACTCCGACGATTAAGTCAGTTATCTCTAAAAGATAAATCAAGTGTTTAATTCACTGTTCAGAATATAAATTGTGTACCTTAGACCCATGTGGGTGCCTCTCTTTTTATAATTTACACAATCCTAGCCCCAATAGAAGCCTAGCTTCCATGAACTTTAGCTCAATGCTCATCTTGGACTCTTCAACGGATAAAAATAAACTCTCTATGAGTTTTATCTTTATCTAAGCTGAGATCCTTCTTCACTCTAGGACTCTTGTCCCTTATCCGCTTATCCCGGATTCCGATATCTTCGGAAATCTTCTCGGCCGCCGAGATAACTTCGGCGTCACGACCAGGACACATGACATCTCGGCTGACACGTCGGCTTCACCTTGACCACCTGTTGGTATTCAGAAAATATATCTCCACAACTAGCAATGTTCAAAGAAAACAAAAACAAAAAGAAAAATATAAACAAGCACATTGAACAGGGATTTTTGGATTTTTTCATAATTTGTTGGCAAACTTGTTTTGGAAGTTTTTCAAAAAAATGCAAGGTTTGGATATGATTCATGTATTGTTGTTTTTGTAACTTCTCTCTCTCTATATATATATGAATCTATATCTCTAACTCTCTGCAAGGTAATGGAAGGAAGCGATTGCCCACCGTTTTTGTACAAGAATTTATTTGTCCTCTGTGGAGGGGCGATTTGTCCAATATAGTACTCTTGTAGTTTCTCAATTTTCATGAAAAAGTGCAAATGCTTTTTCAAGCTATCTTGTTCATGCCGCAAAAATCAGACATATAATGTTCTTAAATTGGTTTCCTTTGTTTAGTTTGCTTACCCTTCCCCCTTTTTATTCTTTTGTTAATTACATTAGAAATTTCTTGAAACTTCTGTTCTTTGGGTTCATTGTGGTTGTACAAAACTTGTGTTATTTTTGGGTTAGTTTGGTATAATTTATTTTAGTCCATTTTTTTATCTTTTTCATCTTTTTTGGGTCACATTAATCAACATCTTCTCTCTATTTTTCTACACATCTTTTTATAAAAAGTCAAAAATATACTTATTTAGGACATCCTAAACCACGTTGATTGTATCAAATAAGTTTTTTTAATTAATTAACTAATATGTATTTGATTTTATTGTTGAATAAATTAATAAAAAAAGAAAAAAAGAAACGCATATTTGACTCTTTGGCTGTGAACCTTGAAAAAAAAAAAGGGTCAAGTTGGGTTGGGAAAAACCTAAACCCATTTGGGTGTATTTATTTGAACGGACTGAATAAAGAGAGATTGTAATCCATCGGACTGTAAGTCTTGGGATACATTGTCTCCGGACTATTTGGTTAGACTGGATTTGTATCTTATGTTTGTTTAATCATGTGATTAGATGTATGAATTAGATTATTTTTAGTGAATCCAATGTTTGGTTAGACAGACTGGATAAGAATAAATGTTCAAAAAACTATTTTATTCTTATAATTTATAATTTTTATTTAATATATAATTTTAAATTTGTAATCTATAATTTATAATTTATAATTTAAAACATTGTAATGGGACCTTTCAGTCTATAAGAAAACTTTTAGGACTAAACAGTGCATAAGTTATTAATTTGGGATTTATTGGTGCATCCCCCAAAAATTAATTTACAAGGCCATAATTTTTAATTTATTATTTTTAATTAAATTAAATTTATAATTTACATTTTTTATTTAATATATAATTTTAAATTACCAACACTAAAAAAATAATTTATAAATGTTCAAAAGACTATTTTATCTTTTTCTAATTGTTTATTAAGTAATAGCATGAGGGTAAAATGAACATTTCATACATTAGTTTCATGAGATACCAATCCCATGAAAATAATCTCATCCCTCCCCTTAAAATATAATAATCGCTCATATGAGAGATTAATAGTTCGGAAGGACTATTAATCCGGAGCAAAAAAATTAAACAAAACAATGGACGGACTAATAATCCAATTTCATAAAATAATCTATCAAAACAAACACACTCTTAAAGGATGGAAAGTGTAATTCCCATGGAAGATGGGGGATGAGGAATGCGAAAAAATTATAATAGGAGAATAGAAATGAAAAATTAATATCTTACCTCCCATTGTCATCCCTAAATCTGTCCAATCAGACCTGTGCATACCCCTAAAAAGAAAGAATAAGGTAAAAATAATAAAATTGAGCAAAAAGAAGAGCCACCAAAAAAATCCCTACATGTTTGTAATGGAAAACACCATCTTTTTCATTTCATTCATTCTTCCTAGTCCTTTCCTAAAACCACAATCTATGATTGATAATTCATACAAGTCATCAAAAGATACAACCCATAATTATCTCTCTCTAGTGAAAGGAATTGAGAGCGTTCTCAAAATGGTGCTGTTGAAGTTCGATGGAGAGCATGCTTTTTGGGAAGTTGAGTCTCTGCTGCTAGAAATGACTGACACAATAAACAGATTGCCAAAATCAATAATAAAAATCCTTACAAATAGAAACCAATAGCTTGCAAGTAACTCTACGAAGTGAAAAGAGTACTATCCAATTTTTCCATCTTTATGCCATCATCTAAACCCAAAAAGCTCCATGCCAAAATCTATAATGTTTAATTTTTTTTAAAAAAAATCCAATTTAATTGACTTACCGTGATGTGTAATGATGAATATTAATTTTTGATTTGTCAAACATTCAATTATATAAAGTTTAACTTATATCATTGTTGGTAAAATTTTTAGTTTAAAATTGTGAATTTAGAAGTGGTTTGGAATGATTTAAATAAGTATACTTTTTGACTTTTTATAAAATATGAATTGGGTATGTGTTGGATTTGAAATGATGTGGTAGAGAGGTGATGTGACTTAAATAAGATGATGTGATTTAAATAGGATAGTGACTTTTTGATTTTTTTTAATTATGACAAACAAGACCTCAATTTATATATTACATTAATTTCTCTTTTAGTAAGTTTAAAGTGATTAAAACTATGGTATGACGACACAAAGATAGACAAGGTAAAATATATATTTCAATGTAAAGAAAATGACAATATCATTGTTTCATTCATATTACTAACGAAAAAGGGCTAAATATTATATAAATTACAATTTTAAAAGAGTCTAACGTAATTATGTTAAACTCGTGAAGCTTGCTGTATTTTTCTTAAAGTTTTAAGAGAGGTTAGTGTAATTTACCTTTATCAACTTGTGTATCACAAATTTAGGATGGTTGTTGCGTGGCTTATTGGGTCCATTTTGACGCATATTTTGACAATTTAAATTATTAATATTTTACAGTATATCGAGTAAAATATATTTAAAAAAATTAAGTTTATCGAACATCGGAATCTGAAATATAAAACTAAATACAAATGAAATTTGATAAAAAGACTACAGATATCTGATTAATTTAATTTTTTATAATATATTGTACTCGATATATTAAAAAAAATAAATTATTTAAATTATCAAAATAGAATCTAGAATGAATCCAATAATCTGTGCAACAGGGTATTTGCATATTATCCCTAGAGAAGGTGTGGGTGGTCTTGGGACATTACTCTACACGACTCAGCACACTTGTTCATTTGTCTCCTCAAAAGAGATAAAAAAGTGGTGAGTTTTACTGTTTTAACCAATTAAATTCAAATTGGAGCAGCACATGGCTTTGCCCCTGGGACAGTACAAAAATCTGTCTCCACCTATTTGGGGGGCTTGTGGTATTCCGGTTGGTTTTTTCTGATTTTTTTTTTTTAAATTTGAATCATACATATTATAAAATTTATTAAGAATATTATTCATATAAAAAATAAAGTTAATAAAAAATCAGCAACATAATCAGATTCAAATTGTTTTAAAAAAATTATCAAGATCATTTAATAATTATTTAAAAAAATAAATAAATATGCTCTTATTTTAGAGTAAAGATTTTTAATCAATTTAATTTTTTATTTAAATAATTTATTTAACAAATTTTATAATATAAACAATTCAAATTATTAAAAAAACTCAAAAAAACATTTCCATCAGAACAACACAGATAGCTGTTCCCTTGGTCCGTGTCTCACCGCTATTCCAATGATGACTCATGTAATAGGTTAGGTGTATACGACGGTTCTTTTGTCTCATGTTTGGTTTACAAAATTAATAGTGAAATATTAATAATTTTATTAAATTAGTATAATATTTATTATTCAATTGGATTAACATTTATTTGATTAATAATTTCACTTTTATCCAATTATTAATAATTTTACAAATTTATTCGATTAATTACCCATTAGATTAATAATCTTAAACCAAAATATTAAAACAAACATAGAATAATTAGACTCACCGATTAATAATCCTCAGTCCCATACTCTAATCTACTCAATCAAACATGCCCTTGAGATTTTATTGCTTGGGTTGTGTTTTATTGTTTTAACTTTAACATGTTGGACAAAAATACTCATAAAAATGCTTTTTTGAATTATCACTTACCCTAACCCTACTTTTAAGGGCATTTGAAACCTTTGTAATCAAAAAGTCATTACACAATTTATTTACCAAACAGTTTTAGTTTTCCACAACTTCAACGAAAAGTTGCATCAAATAATTTCATAACTTCAAAAGTTAAGACCTTTTTATTATTATTATTATTATTACTTTAAATATGATAAAATTTAAAATAAGTCTCAACAAGTACTAGTAATTATATTTTATTTTTTTGAAAATATTAATTTGTATTGCTAGTATACTGATATTAGATAAATAAATATATTTTTTAATTTTTTACGAAAAAATATATAAAAAATTATAGAGATGATGTGACTCTAAAAAATAAAAAAATGTACTTAATTAAATTCTTAAAAAAATTAATTTCGTTTAACTACCTGTTGTTGCTCACTTTTCAGTCTGGCATTCTCTTTCATCAAATGGGCAACTTCTAGCTCCAACTCTATCGTGTAAGCCTGTATGGTCCATCCACAACAGCATGAAAAAACTACCATCAAAATATCACACACACACACACACACAAGTTATTGTTATTTTTTAATCAAGAACACACACACACATATTATGCTGATATTAGATAAAAAAAATAAATTTGTTAAATAGTTGACTTTGTTTTTGTTTTTCATATATAGTCAAAACAACCAAAGGAAACATGTGTTTGCAAAGATGGGATTTAGGAGGTGTTTGCAAAGATGTTAATATAATTAAAAAGCTAAAATTCAAAAAATTATACAAAAAAATTAAAGATTTCTTTGTATTCTCTCTATTTTTTACACATTTTTTCTTAATAAATTAAAGTCATTCCCAAAATTTAACCAACAAATTAAAAAGTCACACAAAAAAAGCAAAAAATTCTTCATATTCTCTTTACTTTTTACACATTTTTCATATAAAAAAATCAAAAAATTATTCTCAAATTTTACCAATAAATTAAAATTTTATTAAAAAAATTATTTTCCAAATGAAGTCACATGTGTCCTCACTCCTATTATATTAATTAAAGACTTTGGAATGGTTTAGGATGATTTAAATAAGTGTATTTTTTGACTTTCTATGAAATATGGATTGAATATCGGTTGAGTTTGAAGTGATATGTTAGAGAGGTGATGTAATTTAAATAAGATGATGTGATAGTGACTTTTTGACTTTTTTAGATCATACCAAACAAGGCTTTTGTATATATGTCAATATAATTTAATTTGTTAATTATAATAAAATAAAATATATGATATATATCATTTTTTTTACTTTTTACTTTTTATCTTTTTTAATTTTTATTAATTATCAATTATTCATCCACCATCGGCCATCTCCTGTCTCCCCTCACCAACTCTGACATTTATGTTTTTAATAAATAAAAAAAAATCATTATATTTAAAGTTATAAAATAAGAATACAAATTTAAAATTACCATTAATGATTATTTCATGGTTTGTAATTGAAATGACCACAAAGCATCCGTCACATGAACCCCTCCTTTTCATTACCATTTTTAACGGTATATTATATAAACAGAAAAATTAAATGTTACAAATTTAACACTTTAAAATTTATATTTTAAAAAAGATCTTACTAATTACTCTTTTAGGCGATTTTTAAGATTCAGATAACATTAAAATATATAATTTTAATATATTTTCACATTTTTTAATATATTTTTTAACACAACAACAACTTTAAAGTTTATTTTTAATATTTTCCTTTTAAAATATATGACACATCATTCTTATAATAAAATGTTTCTACTTAACAAACGTACATATATACTATTATCTATATTATATACATAAGCAAATGTAGTGGTCTCTTAAAAAATTCTAAACTCTCAATCATAACATCTCATGAACGTCTTTCTTACGTGGCACATCCATTCTTCTCTCATTCTATTTTCCTATTTTCCTATTTTTTCTTATCTTTTTTTTTTTATATATTTTTGATTACTTATGGCATGGATATAAAAGATTTTCAAAATATTTAAAGATAAAAATTTTCAAAATATTTAAAGATAAATTAATTTAATGACTTATAGATAATTAAATATATAAAATTTGATAAATAATTTATAAAGATTAATGTGGTCTACTGATAAAGATAAAGATTAAATAATTGATTTACAAAAAATTAAAATAATAAAATTTAGATAAAGATATGATTTGTTAATCTATATATCTATCGAAAACATATATATCTAAATCTTTATTTTGATTTACTCTTTTTTTTTTCCCTCCTTCTATGACATATTGTCTTTTTTTTATTTTAAATTTTTTATCTTATAAAATACTCTTATCTATTACTTTTTTTTGTCCTCTATTAAATTCTTCACCTTTTATTGATGATTTTTATTATTCGTTATTATCTACCAAATGATAAAGATAAAAAATAAAATAAAATAAATTTATTGGTTCTGAATGAGAAGGGTATTAATAATGAAATAATGAAGGCTTTTTATCACTATATTTATCCAAGATAATAATTTGATATTCTTTCTATTAGTTATTAAAAATAGTTTGTATTAGATCATTTTTTTTTCCAAGTAAAGTTGTCATTCATTATAGTATTTCTTTAATCCCATCTCTAAAATTTTTCTTTGAAATTTTTGTTTTTTCAATAATAAAGTTTAGAATCAATTTCTT